AACCCGAGGTACCACTGTAATAGCTTTAGCATGGAAGAAGAAGTAAAACATAGTGAGTCTCTCAGGAGAAATTGTTATACAAGGTTGCATACACAGTGAAGTCTCTTCGGAGGACTTTTGCTATGACCAGATGACATATGAACTCCATGTTATTCCTACAGAGGAGAACAGACATGCAGCCAGGGAATCTTAAAGAATTATTTATTGAAGTATCAGTCCATTCCCAAGATACTGTTCATCTTCATTCTGTCTTAACAAAGGGACTCTTCTAATGGAACAGAATGAAAAATTAAAACAGTATAAAAAAAAACTGATCTAACCCTAGTGGGATGCTGCAAACTGATAATTTCAAAACATTTAATCTCTGATACTTTCTTCCCAGTGATTAAAAAATTCTTTGGGCAGGTAAACCACCTAGGCATATTGCTGTCATTTGCTTTCCCTTGACTGATAGAATGAATGCTCAGAATAAATAGAGACATGCTTATGGAAGGGATAATAGTCATAAAGCACTTCAATCTGTGATAGCAAAGAAAGAAGACAGAAAAATGTCCCATCTATAAAGCCATAAACAAAAATACTTTGAAGATTTCCTTCCCCTCACATAAGCCTGCCCAAATCATTAGAGATGTTTCTTTGAGTTGCTCTGTTCCTACCTTTGAAATAAGAAGGATAATGACCCCAGTAGGGCCATTGCATTTTGAGTGCTGCAGTTTTCTGTATTTGTTCTTTTAGAAGTTACATATTTTGTCTTTCAGATAGTTATCAATATCAATATAGATAGCATGAATGAACAATAAGAGAGAGCCAGTGCAGTGTAGTGGTTAACATGCTGGAATAGGAGACCTTAGGCAAGAAGAAGACCAAGAACATGAAAATGACTTTAGAAAAATATCAGTGCAAAGTAAGCAAAATTATTTTTTAAAAGCAGACCATTACAATCATTTGTAGCAACAGGATACAAAGTTAAAACAATTTTTAAATGTTGTCTAGCTAAATAGGAATGTCTTGGCCATTTGCCTGAACTCTGCAGAAGAGAGAGTGAATTCCATATCCCTGGCATCACTGCCTAAAAGACCTTGTCCCAACTAGCTATACATCTTAGACAAATGGACAAAGAAGATGGCTTTTTTGTAATAATTGGGCTGGATCATGTGGAAGAAGTTGATTGTCAAATAGCTGGCTCTAAATCATTTATGGTTTTATGGATAATCAACTGTTTCTTTATTTCTGACTAACATTTAATCAAAAACTAGGGTAGTTTATGCAACACTAAAGTTACATGCTCCATGAAGCAGATTCTGGTAAACATCCTCATTGCCACATTTAGTAATACCTGATATTTCTGACCATGATTTTAAAAGTAGCTTGGAGCACAGCTGCTTTAGAAGGCCTTGTAAAAGGCCTGGGGATTTTAGAAGGAATAAGTATTTTTATCTTATGGTTTTGTACTGCACTCAGGGACGTTTTTGTTTCTTTGCTGGTTCTTTATTAAACTTGTATGCCACCAAATCTGGTGCTAACTGAAGATTAGGATACAATTTCTGACTTTTTTCCAGACCTTGTATATTATTGTACCAAAGAATTTCATTCACTTTTGAAACTGACTAATTTGCAAATTTTCTGTCGACTGACAGTGACAATGTGACTAGTTTTCAGTAAGAAGACACTTGACCTTCCCTTTGCAACTTGCCACTCAGCTTGCAGGTTATCCTCAGCTGGGGCTAAATATCAGTATATTGAGCTCAATAAAGTAGCCACTGTGAGACCCATTTTTAAAAAAAGACCCAGGGGAGATTCAGAAAATTATAGGCCAGTGAGTTTAGTATCTGTTTTGGACAAATTGGTAGAAGCAGTAATCAAAGAAAAAACTACTAAGCACATAAAGGAGCACACCTTGTTGAAGAAAAATAAACATGGATTCCTAAAGGGAAATCCTGTTTCAGCAACCTTCTACATTTTTTTTTTAAGTGTCAGCAGGCATGTAGCTGGAAATGACCTCTCAACACGCTATGTTTGGATTTTCAAACAGCCTTTGACAGAATTCCTCAGCAAAGGTTCTTGCATAAACTTAG